GTGGAGTTTTCTGTTGTCTTTGCTCCAAAGGTTTTTGTACAGAGTTTTGCTGTTTCCTGTCACTGTGGGCCTCACAGCACAGTAGTACACAGCAGAGTCTGTCACTGCAGCAGAGGAGATCTTCATAGTGACTTGGTTTTTATCACCACTCACTGTAGCAGAGAGTCCAGCTCTTGATGCATTTTGTGTTCCATAGTTAAAGATGAGGAACTCTGGACTTTTTCCTGGATGTTTTCGATACCAGTAGAACTCGTCATTAGCAAGAACTTGTTTGTAGTATTTGTTGGTCAGAATTACAGTGTCTCCTTCCAAAGCCATTAATACATTTTTAAATGGAGTCAGTACATCCTCAGAGGATCCTGAAAACAACAGACATAGATTTTATGAGGTTAGTTTGTATATCAGCTGAATCAGTTCAGTGTCTCGTCCTTTTACATCCTGCTCCATCCTTTGATGACTTACCAGTTTGAAAGGAGACGATCATCATCCAGATGAGAAGCAGTAACATTGTTTTCACTTGTACTGAATGAACAATAGAGAGAACACAGCAGCTGTTCAGCTCCAACATCAAGCCTTTCATATTCAGTTGTGTAGCTCCTCCTCCTGCTGTGCTCTGTTTCCATTTAGACTGATGGAGGCTTTAGAAATGACACTGATGCTGCATTCATCTTCATCATTATCATCATCGTCATCATCATCATCATCATCATCATCATCATCATCATCATCATCATCTTCATCTAGGTCAGACTGAAGGAGGAATTTGCAAAAAGTCCCCTGAGAGAAATAAAAAAATTTTCGGCTTTACTGTGTTGGGAGTCAAATATGGTCCAGTAGCAAAAGGTCTATCAGCTGTATCTAAGGATAGACATGGCAATACAGCAAAAGAACCAAGTTTGTAAAGTTAAAAAGCTCCAGCTGCTTCCTGCACAGAGATTCTAGCTGTGTTGGGAGTTAAACATGTCCTATTAACAAAATGAGGTCCAGTTTAAGTTGTCAGCTTTTCACACTAAAACACTGCAGATGAATCAGCGAGTTAGTGTTTGTTGCCATTATGTGATGAACCAGTGTGTGGTTTTAATTTCAGATCTGTTTATTTTCTCTGACAAAGTGAAACAGTGGATTTCACTGTGTTGATGTTTAATTTTTCAATGAAAAATCAATTTAGATGTTGTGGAAAAACTGCCTTTAAATTTTACAATTCACAAAAGTCCTCGCAGGTTGTGTATAGTATACATACAATGTTGTTTGTCCCCCAGCTTTGTCAAAGGACAAACATGACAACATGGCTTCAGGATATCTAGTCAAGTTTATATCCATCAAAAGCAGCTATTCAGCATCTTCTAGCCTGGTTTCGGTTCTTTGTACAGCACCAAAACTGCTCTGGTTAAGGTCTCTAATGACCTACTGATGTACAGATGTACAGTAGTGAACAAAAGCTTTCAGACACTTGTACAGACATACATATATTGGCAATATTGAGGTTTCAGAGACTACAATAACCCTCATTGTCTTCCAGTGTTTCCTCTACATTCATTTAGCAGCAGCGGCCCACAATTCCTAAATCCTCGCCGCCGCTCCTTCAAATTTTTTTTTTTTCTTTTTTATTGTCGCAAATACACCACCGCCACATGTCTCTACCTTCACAGCAGAGTCCTGCACTGGGCTGGGTGCACACGAGTACTAAGGTAAACGACAGATAACTATCTTGCTCAGTCGCTACTCTTTGGGAGGTTAATATGACGTCAATTAGTCGCAAGAGCGCGGAGGGTGACATCCTGTCCAGCGCCAGGCTCCAGGCCAGAGTCGGACGATGGTCATCATGGAGAACAGGGCAGCGACTTACTGGAGGAAAGGTAGACTTATTAGCTTAAGGTAACTCAGAATAGATTTTACAAGTCAAATAGACATTCACAAATTATTGATGGCCAGCTAACGTTATGTAACATATCGGTATTATTGGAGAATTACTGTCTTCTCCGCATGTTCGTTTCTAAAGACGAGATCGGATTCAATTCGGTCTCAATCAATCAATTTAATTGCACATTGAATATTACATTACAGAGCTCTGGGTCAAACTCTCCCTGGCATCAGACAAAGCAAGACTACTCCTGTTGCCTCTGGCCCTTCTTTTTACTACTCAGTCACGTGATGCCTGTTCAGGTCGTAAAACAACTGATTGGGGCCCATCTTCATCACACTGAATGGTTGCATCCTTATATAGATTTCTTTTCCTCCGTCTGTTGCTTGTCCTGTGAAACCATAAAAGAAACAGACCCAAGCAACTTCTTCAAAAGAAGGCATTTCATGACTATGTGCATATATGTAACTTCTTTTATATTTTAAACCTTAAGGACTATACTTCACACATGATATATTATATTTATACACAACAGTATCTTAAGTTAATTGGGTCTGATACATGTCAATATTTCTGTTAAATCCAAAAAATAAATAAAATAATAAATAAATTCAGTGTATTTCCATTGTAAGAGCAATGATCAATAATGTCACTGTACTCTGTCCTAATAGGAATGTTCTGAAACAGGCTGCAGGGGATCATCTTGCATCATGTATGCTGCTGAGCCTCTCGGAGTGTTTCCCTACAACAGAGCCTTAGAGCTCTTCTATTTAAAAAAAAATAAAAATAAATANTGATTGATCATCAGTCAGTCATCAATTAATGACTGTGTTTTATAAATTATGTCCTGAGTCCTGATTTTTTTTTCTATTCGTTTTAAATACAGACTGGATCCTCCATCTTCTAAACATGATCAGTGTTTCTCATCTTAATATGTTTGACATGATACAAATCACTTTGCACAAAAACTGCTTGCAGCATCTTTTATTTTGTTACTTTGTTTTGTACTCAAGATAACATTTAAATTTTATTTCTAACTGAGATGGCATAATTTACAAAAATGTCACAGTAGAGATATTTTAGTTTTAAGCCAAATGTGTATTTCACAAATGTAAAGCCATTGTTAGTTTAAATGATCAATGACTGCTAATTTGCTCACTGTCTTTCAGTGCTTAGCATTGTGTTTCTGATCTCTTGGACCAATCAGAAGAACTTGGGCCGTCTCCTTATTTACCTGTAGACAGCTGCTGCTCATTCAGCTGTTAATGTCAGTAATACATTCTGTAAGTTTCTCTGCTGGACTAAGATCATTGGAGGAGAGTAACATGTACAACTGTGTGTCGTCTGCATAACAGTGTTTCCCGAGAACATCACCAAGCAGAAGCATGTATATATTAAACTAAAGAGCTTCCAGGATACAACCTTCTGGGCCTATGAGGTTATCATTTATCTGTCTGGAACCAAAGGAACGACAGAAACAGAGAAGTCTGAAAGAGGATCAAAACCACTCTGAATTGAACCATGCAGCTGTCTGATTCCTGTTGAATTACAACTGAGTGTTCAACAGTGGTGACTGCAACTTTAAGATGGAGGAGACAGAGACATGTTTGAGTTCAGTATTGATCCTGACATCACAGACTGTTTTGGTATGTTATTACTTAAACTATTATTTTTTTTTGTAATTTTTAAAAAAGACAGACAGATCACAACACCTCAATAATCTGGATGTGACAAAAGGACAGATTTCTTCAGTGTCTCTAAGAATTAACTGAATCTGAACAAACCATACAAGAGTAATAGAGTGTATCTCCCTCTAGTGAATGTTGTGGAGTTTTCTGTTGTCTTTGCTCCAAAGCTTTTTGTACAGAGTTTTGCTNAACAGTGCTACCAACTGCGCCACCCTGCAGCCCAGAGTATTTAGAAGAATGTTTGTCCATTTTTACAAAAAGAAATTGGTGAGATGCCATTCGCAGCAGTTCAAACAGAATCAGATAGTCCAATCAGACTAAAATCTGTCTGAGAGAATAAAATGGTTTACAGTATCAAAGGCTGCACCAAAATGTGATATTAATACAGAGGGTTTCCTCATATCCATAATGGACCAAAGGTCTTTTACAACCTGGAAAAAGTAGAGAAAATGTAGCCATCAGACTCACATTGTCCATGAGGCTGAGGGGAGAAGACAGTGGAAAATGCCACCTGTACAGTGTTACTCTGTGGACATTCACAATAAAATCAACTCTGTCAGTTAAACTTACAAGATGATCAAAGCATAATTTTCATTCTCTCAGAGCATTAAAAAGAAAAGTAGTGAAATACAGTCTGTATATCGGGATATTGCAGCAGGTCAAAGCAAACTCTGATCCTTAATCTTAAACTCACCTAAAATGAGAGATAAAAACAGAAAGAGGTAAAGAAACATGTCTTTGGAATTGTCAGACACACAGCAGATGAACAATGTTCTTCCACTGCAGTACAATGAGGAAGAAATAAATTCAGTGAATGAGCTTAAGTTCAGTGAGTGGGGCCATTACCTGTTTACATCATTTTTTTCAGCTCAGCTCAGCCAATCAAAGTGTTGTACAACTGTGTGTCATCTGCATACGAGTGTTTCCTGACAACTTCACCGAGCAGAAGCATATAAAGGTTAAGCTAAAGAGATTCCAGGATAGAACCTTTCGGGCCTACACGGCCAGTATTTTTTATATTGTTTATAACTGCATGAACCAAAAGTTGACAGTGTTGACTGCACCTCTAGAATGGAGTAGAACAGCAACAGAGTCATTCTTGTAGTCAGTATTGATCCTGACATCACTGTTAATGTGAATGGTTTATTACTGGAACTGGAGTTGTGATGGAAGACAGACCAGTAAAGCTCTGTAATCTGAATTTGACGACTGGACACATTTCAACATGACACCTTCTTCAAATCTTTAGCATCTCCGAGATTTGACAAAAGTATTTCTGACTGTTGAAAAAAATTTCTAAAAATTGCAAATCCCCCTCTTGTTGGAGAATAAAATGATTTGAATCGTAACAAACCATAGAAGTGTAGCAGAGTGTGTCTCCCTCTAGTGGATGTTGTGGAGTTTTCTGTTGTCTTTGCTCTAAAGGTTTTTGCTGTTTTGCTGTTTCCTGTCACTGTGGGCTGCAGAGCACAGTAGTACACAGCAGAGTCAGACAGCTGAAGCTTCTGGATCTTCAGAGGAACTGATGTCTTGTTGAGTTTAGCATCAAATCTGTCTT